GTCGTAGAAGTGACCAATGATGTCCAAGCAAACGTGCCTTTGTCACGGAAGTCCCACCATTCAGTCACCTAATTGGATTAAAAGAGGTTCACCAATCAGGGTTCTGGATGGCCAAGCCCTTCGCGAGGGTGTGGCTAAGGTTGCACGTTGGCCGAAGGCTACGTGCGCATGCTTCTTGCATAGGTGGCTACACGTGGGGTTTGGGCATGCGAGCTACGGGATTGCTCACCGTGTTTGTTTTCATCCCGTGCCTAATTGCTCCCCGTCAAAGCTGAATTGTACGCATTAACAGACTTGCATTGTCCGACCTGCTAATTTACTCAACATCAATTCTCAATGAAAAGTTCCGTTTGTAAAAATCGTAGTGGCAACTTGGTTATCATAATTCTGTCTACCAGGGATTTTAACACGAAATTTTAGTAGTAAAGGTGGGAGAATATGGAAATAAATCCGCAGCTGAAATAGCTAACCAATAGCTAACGACATACACAGTAAAAGGGTGACCGTCAAAAGTTGAGAATTTTAGAATTGATGAGGCGGGTCGTGCTAATTTTTTGTCCAGTTTTACATACGTTTGGACGCCAAGGAGTGAATTTGGGTAACGAATGAACTACAGGGGAAACTGTGCCATCTTTTTGCCCGCGACCTCCAAACGAAGCAGTAGGCAGTGATTTACGTAACCGCATTTGTTTGCATTATTTTGGTAGGAACCCGCCTCGATAGCTGCCGGAGCACCTTTTCAGAGTCACGTGGGAATAACTGTAACCGACCAATCTTGGTCGCGGGACGAAACTGGAGATTGCATTTTTGGAAGTGTGGGTTTGGAGCCCTCATGACCAGCCACCTAGCGATGAGCAATCATTCGCCAAGAAGCAGTGCTGACAAACGCGAGGGAAGTTGAGATGACCTTTTCCGCTCTACTCGACATCATCAGCTATGTTAACGTAATTTAACCAAACACGGTCAGCCCCAGTCTCCATTATGTTGGTCTACAGCTCAGGTAGATGACAGTTTGGCCGTTGGTTCCGACGACTTCCACTGTGTGCTATACAGCATAACGCAGATAGCTCAGATAGATATGCCACACATACATTACCATAAAGGGCATGTCACTTATTACTTGCAGTTGCGTCTACTTATTCGTTTCTAGCCTTAAAAATATGGTTCATGATTTTTGAGAGAGAAAAAAATTATACGCTTGACAGGCATTGTCACGCATTTAAACGCAAGTAGAGAATACATCTGTTCGTTTCTCGATGGTTTGTACGTGGATCAAAAGGTATCTGTCGGAGCTGCAGACAGCTCCCGGACTGAATGGCGGACCGATAGATAAGTAGCTAGCGCGTTGGACACAGTAACGTTCAATAGACAAAAGAACCCGGGTTCGAATCTCTGGTACTTCCAAACAAAAACTGTTCGCTTGATGTTACTCTTCTTGTCTCTGATGACAGCCTCCTGTAGGAGTCTGAAATCGTACTCGAATACTATCTCATTGATCGCTTGTCCACGTTATTTTCAACACTACCATGGCCTACGTATTTGCAGTAAAGCGCGTAATGCACACAAAATTTTTATTGGAATCCCAGGTAACCTGAAGTTAAGTTTGACTGATCCACGATGGCTAATTAGCTGTAGATGGCTGTCCTCTCTTTAACGATACGTCTTATATTTGCAACTAATCTTCCTCTGATTGCAATACTAGTCATTCTGCGACTGTACATGGTGCTATAGACCGCACCTCCCACAAACAAGACGAGCAGGTTCCGTAACCTGATCTAGTCGTCTTTGATGACCATGGGATACTCATAACAGTCGAATAATCATGCCAAATTTCGGATATATTAAAACACGCTTAGAATGTCTTGGAAATCGACAGTTTAACCATCAGATTTCACGAGGTGGCGTAGAGAAGGTGACTTGCGCGCGAATTCTTTTAAGGCGATGCTGTACTTGCGCCGCATCTACTGCACTCTCTCATCCTTCAATCACCCGTGCCCGGTTTCAAGAAAGTGTCAAGAATACCGGAGACGAGATCGGTCGCAAGTAGTTAGCGTGGCGTGAGCCTGCACCTACGCGTGCAATCACACGCCCCTCC